TTTCCAATACCAATGCTAGTTGTCTTGAGGGCTCATCATCAAGACAGCAGGCATGCTATGTGTGAAGCTGCCAGTCCAAGGCCTAGTGCCAATGGAAGCTGGAGCTGCTGTCACTTTGCTTTCCAGGGTGCCTGGCCTCAGGTTCAGGTGCTGTGGAATAGTCTGACTGTGCCCTTGGCAGCTCCAAGCTTTCAGATAGCCCTCTGTGTTCAAGGTCACCCGGTTTATTTCCTGTGGGAGACAAGGAAGTTACCAACAGATAGAGTATGAATGTATTTATGTCACCTGCAAGTTTGGGCTTCCTTCCTTGTCCTTTCCCTCCACAGAAACTTCTCTGTTAGTGGGGAGGGGACTCTCTATGAAAGTGTCAGGTGAAGAACAACATCATAAACAGCCCTCTGTCCTTACCTGCCTCAGTCACTCCAGGCCATAAAGGGTCCTGGAGTGGAATGCTGTTGTCAGAGAGAGGAACACTAGATGATAAAGATTTACTGCAAAATTTTGAAAACATAGCTCATCAATTTTATAACATGATTTTTTCTGGAACAATGACATTGTGTATACATTGAGTTTTATAAAATGTATTTTTCTCATGTGGCTTCTAGGAAAGTTTAAAGTACAAGTGTGTCCCCTTTCTATTAGGTAATTCTCTTTGGTACACAGTTCTTCATTCATGTTTCAAAACAATCATTCGGAGTAGACTGAAACACCCTTATTTCACAGTTCATCAGACTGAGGCATACCGACAGTCACTTTGACCAAACTCAAAACTAAAGATCAAACTCCTGGCTCTACAGGCTGTCCAGATCTTGTTGTCCATCTACTGCCTAAAAGCAATAAATGGCCTTAGTGCTATGCAAAATGTAATATTTGTATATTTGAGTTCTAGAATCGGGAGCTGAGGAATTGTCATAGCTGAGAGTATTACATTGGGTCTTTTTTTTTTTTCTTCCAGACAGGGTTTCTCTGTGGCTTTGGAGGCTGTCCTGGAACTTGCTCTTGTACCCCAGGCTGGTCTCAAACTCACAGAGATCCGCCTGCCTCTGCCTCCCAAGTGCTGGGACTAAAGGTGTGCACCACCACAGCCCGGCTTTTGGGTCTTTCTTTTTTAATACCTCTTTAGCATTATCATTGTGGTGTATCAAGATCACCTGCTTGGGAGACAGTTTTGACAGCACCCAGATAAATTGGAATTCAGGGGCCAAAAGTTCCAGGCCTAGAGTTTCCATGTGACCATAGCCAAGTCATCTCAGGATCTCCTCATGTGTGAAATGAAAGGCAAAGACTAAAAGACTGTCTTCTTTGTTGTTTAAAATAACATTGACAAGGTCAGGATGACCCAGAGACTGTTTGCAGGTTCATGTGAGCTTGGAGATGTTTTCTTTCTTGTGAGTAAAAGACAAAGTAATTCTGGTTGTATCATCAAGAGACTGAATTGTCAAAGCATGAGAAACATAAGGCTACTGTGTACATGTGTATTATATACACAAATGTGTTAATATAGTAATATGTATATTATATACATTTACATATTCAATATACATAAATACATATACATACATCTTAGATACATCATGGCGTCTGTATAGCATATAGGTAGCTGTAAATATATGTGCTGTATATATTTGTACATATGTTTGTATATAGGCCCACCATACATAATATATGTATATGTGCATGTACGTGAGGGGGCAAGTCAGTTTTATCAATATAACACCAATATTTTTAGAATGCAAGAGGTGTATACATAATAAAATGTATTTATAGAAAGTGTGAAAGAGAAACAAACAAGGAGTTTTTAAGTTACTAACAGTACTGTTTTAAATTTTTCTTTTTTTGATATTGTAATATAATTACATCATTTCTCATTTCCATTTTCTCTCTCCAAAACCTTCCATAGACCTCTTCTTGCTCTCTTTCAAATTAATGTCCTCTTTTTTCATTAATTGTTGTTACATGTGTAAGTGTATATGTAGAAACACAGACAAATGCACACACACACACAGACACACACACACACACACACACACACACACACATACACATTCACATACACATACACACACACATACACACACATCCTGTTTAGTCTGTAGAATGTTACTTGTATGTTTGTTTTCAGGGCTGACCATCTGGTACTGGATAACAAATTGGATTATTTTTCCCACTTTTAGCATTTCAGACAAACCATATTTAGTACCTTCTCATCTTAGTTATCTACTGGTAACTCCCAATTAGGAGGAAAAGTCAGGTGTATGCTGTGCTGACTGAATTTCTTCAAGTTAAAGTGGAGAAAGCATGAGCAGGCAGATAGTACAGATGTCAGCTGTAGTCTGTATGTTTGTCACATGAGTGCTGAATGCTGTGAATCATTGGTTGTTCCCGAGTCCTGGAGTCCAAAGACACAACTCTAAGAACATGACAACAGTTCCCCCACACATGATAAGGCATTCCAGCATGGCAGAGTTAGTGCCACTTATACTTTACCTGTGTGTCATTATGTCAGCCTGACCTTCTGTGCACTCCACCCTCAACTGTATACAAGGCAGGTACAAGTGCTCCTTGGCTTCACCCATGTGAACAGTGGAGAGGGAAATGAAATTAGGTACAGCTTTCTGAATCCTTTCACCAAGGAAAGCAGTCCTGTTACACTGAGGTCACCCCTTTGAAAACCAACCTAACCCACACTATGTAATCATACACCCCATGAACACCTTTCCTGCAAGGGCTTCCTCACTGAACTCAAGTTCCTTCTTGCAATATTGCATTGTCCATAAATCCATTTTTCTGTGTGTTTGGCTCTCTCCAAAGACTTTTCTCTTGTTCAGTGCTCACTATTTTGCCTTTTAAAACTTGCATTACTATATTATTATTTTAGTTTTTATTTCAGGTGTATGAGTGTTTTATCTTCATCTATGTATGTATGTATACTACATGTGTGTGTATGATTGTGGAGGTCAGAAGAAGGTATCAGATCCCCTGGAGTGGAGTTTCAGCCAGTAATATACCATCATGTGGGTGCTGGAATTGAAGCTAGGTCCTCTGAAAAAGCAGCCAGTACCTGTAACTGCTGAGCCATCCTCCAGTTCCCGCTCTTATTTTTAACACACTTTCCAGACTGTCTAACCTAGTGTCTGAGGCAAACAGATCAACTAGTACAGCCACAAAATTGGAAATCCTGCATTTGATCTTCTAGCAAGTAAATGACAAGATTGATTTAAAGAAGAGGCAAATGTTAAACTGAGTGGAAAACCCCTACAGTCCCAAGACAGGGGCTTTTCCAATTCTTTGTTGATAACCAAAACAAATCAGTGCCTCTACTTCTTCTTAGTTGGAGAATGAAAAACACAGGTTCTCATTTGTCCACTTTTCAGGGCAGTATCCATAGCTTGTCATCTGTGTGAGTCCCTGCATCTAGGCTAGCAGTTAATGTCCTGGAATGACTTTATCCCAACAACCAGTGCAGTTCAGACAAGCTGAGGGAGGAAGTTTGTAAGCCCAAAGGTCTCCATTTAAGCTTTTAATTTGGGTCCTGAGTTGTGAAATGAATTATGACATTTTTAATGTCCTTACATAAGAACATCAGCAATAAACTGATGATGATAGTATCCCTGACTTCCTATGCCACACTATGTGGTTGTGGTGACAGTGAAAAATGTCAGCTGTGGACCACTTTATAACTAGTAAAACTTTGTGCCCAAGAAAGCTTCGTTCTCTTCTGGTTATGTTTCCCTTTTAATCCCATTAGGCATACTTCAGTGGCTTCCTCTGTTAAAAAGACTTTCCAATTGTTTAGGCAAATGAGTAAACACTTCTCCATAGAATATAATCCTAACATACAACCCCAACCTGTTTCAGTCATCCTGCTGCCTACTGCCTGCAGTCAGTATATACACATTAACTATTGCCAAATTCAAGAAACAATACCCAAACCTAGTGATGAAACCGTAGCCATTGATTCTTGCTCATGAGCCAGGGAGGATGCCCTTCCTCCCAATCAGACAGGCAGCTGATCAGACCTGTTCTTAATGCAAGAGTGTAGCTTCAGATACTGGTTCAGCCTATTGGCATATCTGCCTGTATACAATTTTTCAAACCCAAAGCTCCAAAGCATAGCACACATGATGAGAGGCAGCAGCCAAAGTTTGATGCTGGATGAAGGCACTGGATTGTACATTTGCTCATCCACATATAATTATCTACCTCATTGGAATAGAAACCTCTGGTGGGAGACATGGGATGCAGAAGACAACCTGCTTCTATATCACTCACACCTCTGCCGGAGGCTGACAGGAGGGAGCTATTTCTTAGTTTTTTTTTCTGGAGTGAAAAGGGTGTAGAAACACCCATTTCTTTATACCAGGAATTAGTAAACTCTGGCTGCTATGGAAAGCCTCCTTTTGTACAGCTACCAGGCTATTTAAGAGGTTAAGGAAGATGGCCCTGTGGCTAACAGCACAAAATGCTCTTGCAAGAACCTGAGTTCACTTCCTAACACCCACTTCTGTGTGGGTCACAATGGCCTGTAATTCCAACCTGGGGTGAATCATAGGCCTCTTGCCTCTGCTGTCACCTGCACTCATGTGGCAAAGATGTGTGAACACACACACACACACACACACACACACACACACTTGAAACTGAAATAAATCTTAAGATGGAGAGTGATATTTAATACTATATGAGAATTATTTGACAATCAAACTTTGTGTCCATAAACAAAGTTTTGTTGAAATACAGCCACACCCTTGCTCTATCTACTGTCTCTGGATTCTTCAGATCTATAAAAAACAGTTGGAGTTGGAGTTGCCATGGAAACTGTGTGTCCCACAAAGCCTAAAATATTTACTTGCTAGCCCTTTATAGAAAATGTCTGCCACACCTACTTTATTGTAAAAAGAGTTTGGGAGTGGTAGGGCAGGGCACATGACTATAGATGTTCCATGTATAGATTACTTCCATGTTTATTTGGGGTTAATATTTCTTCCTTTCCTCCCTAGTAATTTGCACCTGGAGACACTCATGTTCCAGTAAGTTGGAGGCATCTCTGCTGCCACTTCATGATCCAGGGGTGTGTGACCCAGTGAAGTTCCCAAGGTGTACAGCATGACCTTGCTGCTCTTGGGTGCGGTGCTGCTGGTGGCCCGGCCCCAGCTCGTGCCTTCCCACCCAGCTGTTTCCGGCCCGGGTCCCAGACAGCAGGAGCTTCTGAGAAAAGTGGGTACCCTCCAGGAGGACACCCGAGAAGGTGCAGCGGCCAATGGTTCCACAAAGCAGTTACCACAGACCATCATCATTGGGGTTCGCAAGGGTGGTACCCGAGCACTGCTGGAGATGCTCAGCTTGCATCCAGATGTGGCAGCGGCTGAGAATGAGGTTCATTTCTTTGACTGGGAGGAGCATTACAGCCAAGGCCTGGGCTGGTACCTCACCCAGATGCCCTTCTCCTCCCCAAACCAGCTTACCGTGGAGAAGACACCCGCCTACTTCACTTCGCCCAAAGTGCCTGAGAGAATCTACAACATGAACCCTGCTATCCGCCTGTTGCTCATCCTGAGGGACCCTTCAGAGCGCGTGCTGTCTGACTACACCCAGGTGTTGTATAACCACCTTCAGAAGCGCAAGCCCTACCCACCTATCGAGGACCTCCTGGTGCGAGATGGCCGGCTCAACATGGACTACAAGGCTCTCAACCGCAGTCTGTACCACGCACACATGCTGAACTGGCTGCGTTTCTTCCCACTAGGCCACATCCACATCGTGGATGGCGACCGGCTCATCAGAGACCCTTTTCCTGAGATCCAGAAGGTTGAAAGGTTCCTGAAACTGTCTCCGCAGATCAACGCTTCAAACTTCTACTTTAACAAAACCAAGGGCTTCTACTGCCTGCGAGACAGCGGCAAGGACCGCTGCTTACATGAGTCCAAAGGCCGGGCACACCCCCAAGTGGATCCCAAACTACTTGATAAACTGCACGAATATTTTCATGAGCCAAATAAGAAATTCTTCGAGCTCGTGGGCAGAACATTCGATTGGCACTGATTTGCTGTCAGTTAGGCCAGGGACTTGGCCTGTTGTAACTTCTGGTGTACATCTGTGGGCAGGGGGGAAAGAATTTTAAAAATGCATTTAAGCTATAATTTATTTGTAAAACCCACAAATGACTTCTGTACAGTATTAGATTCACAGTTGCCATATATAGTAGTTATATTTTTCTACTTGTTAAATGGAGGGCGTTTTGTATTGTTTTTCATGGTTGTTAACATTGTGTATATGTCTCTATAATATGAAGGAACTTAACTGTTGCACTGAAAAAAAGATTTTTTCTGGAGACGTCTTTTTTTTTTTAAATATAATTAACTTGCCTCCAATTCAAATAGGTCTCTGTTTGCACCCTCCTCGTCAAATCTATATTCTTTTTCTGCTTAAAATTTTTATTGGTATTATGGACTTCTCTCCTTTCTAAATTTGTTCTTTTAATATGTCTTGATGTGGTCATCAGATGAAGTTTTTACTTGCACTTTAAATTTCCTCTTCACTGAGAGTCTCTATTATTTTTGGAAGAGTCAGTTGTGTCCTTTCTCAAGTTAGCCTGCATCTGGGTTTAACCCCTGTCAGCCTACATGTGGGCTTAACCTCTGCCAGCATTCGTATATATTTAAGTCATGTAAATTTCCAGTGCAGAAGATAGTACTGAGGATGGAAACACAGATGATGACCTGGAAGTTCTCTAAGATCAAATTTTGTCTCAGAGGATATTAGCATATACCTCCAATTTCAGCAATGGGCAAGACCCATAATAAACAAGATTACATTCTCTGATACATTTCAGAATGATCTTGGGGCTGGAAACTTTGCCTTTTGGAGCAATTGGCCTCTGAAAATCTACTTGATAGAGAGAAGGAAACATGCAAGTTCTTGTTGTGTCTGTCTGTCCTTTCTGTTACTTGCATGAGGAGCAGAGTAAGAAGTAGATTTTGTCTACTCTGTGATTTGTTTCCTGGAAGATCAATATGCACTAATGATCTTCCATTTTATACTCATAGACATATAAACATAAATGCGTCAATATCCCTTCCAACTATAAAGCCCTGAATATGGAAGAAAATGAAAACTCCCAAGGGTTGAAGTTAACAAGTGAAAAAGTCACAGCACAAAAACAGTGCACCTGCACACATAAATGGGAGAGTTTCACTTTTCCCTAGAACATCCACTTAGCAGAGGCTGCTCACAAAAGCCAGTTGTAAGCCTCTGGATTATCATGCATACCGATCAATCAGCCTAGTACAATTAAATAGACTAGACCTTATCCATAAGAAGGTAAAATGTGGTCACTGGAGTAGGAAAGAATACTCACCAAGAGTACAAAACCATTTCCTGACAGTTTGTTTGGAAGGAATGAAACACAAATAGGCATTATTGATTGTGTTCTTTATCTAAGAACTCTCTGAAACTTCCTCCAAGCAAACTCAAGATGAAGGGGTTACTGTGACAAGTTCAAAGAATAGAGAATAGGCCCCCAAAACACAAGGAACTTGCTGAAGGTCACAATTTCAGGCTTAGAGACCAGTTGTAGCCAATGTTCAAGGAACTGTTTACTTATTTACTTCTACCCTGCTCTAGCTGTATCTGAACTCTAAAGAAATAGCTCAAACCCAGAGGCAATGTTTGTGTGACTTGACCTGACATGTTTTTCCTGGTGCCAAAAGTCTACTGCCCTGAGTGCTGTGTTTGAGCTAAAGAAAGAGCAAGGGAGGAAATAATTTTTTTCTCAGCAGTCTTCTTAGGGAAATGAGTCATCTTGGTTGTTTTAGCAATCCCAGCCTGACCCAACCTTTTTCTGGCCTACACCCCATTCCTGGCTACTCCCTGACAGAAAAGAGGATGCCCTCCTCTTCAGAACCCTTTAGAACTGTCATTCAACCACTGTCTCCTCAGAAAGTGGAACAGAAATATTTACAGCAGATTTCTGTAGACATTGTGATATGCAGGGTAGTGCCTTCTGCAGCATATCCTTGGGTCTTTTATGTCATTTAATCTGAAGAATGAGAGGAACCACAAAAGGTAAATCAAGTTTTCAAAGCTTATCAGGAATGTGTTGACTGAAAGAAAGCTCCATTGGGAATCCCTGGTGATCAAGAAGATGCCTGGGTGGAGATGATATGGGGCCTGGTCTGCTGCATCCAGGGATGCTGATTAGGAATAAAGAAAGTCAGAGCTGACTCCAGGGGTAAGCTTCAGCTGTTAGAACTGGGATAGCTGATGGCATGTGGTAACATCATGTAAGTGATTAATGGATGTAAATTCTATTAATTGCTTTACTGGGCAAACACAATCATATTCCAACATACCACCAGGAAAAATATCAGGAATCCTAATAATATCATATATTCATTATTTTTTAATAAAACTCCAGCGGGTCATCAGTACATTCTGAGGAGCAAAAAAACCATCATGTCCTACTTTGCTGTAAATCTCATCCAAGCCCTGTTATCTTCAGATGATGCTGCAATGGACCCAGGGCCATTTCTATCAGAACAAAATGCAGGGCAATAGGAGTCAAAGGGCATTTGGTCTCTCCTGACTATGCCAAATGCCAATCCTATTAACAAAGACAGTTTCATGATTTTGTAGGGGATTATAGGTTCTCATCCCAGCCCAGGTCACAGCCACATGAGGGTTCCAGAGGAGCAGCTGAGATTTGCTGAGCCAAGCATTACCTATGGGGTTGGATTCACACCTCATTTGTTGTTCCATAGTAAAAACAGCATCACTTTTCCTTCCTCCAGGAATCAGGCAGTATTAAAATCCTGATAATATTATGTGACTATCCATTAACAGCCTGGAAATTGATTAGTTTAGGAAGAACCATGATAGGCCTCTGAGCTCATGCTGCCTTGCTCTTGTTTCTACCCGAAACATATGGAGGATAGAAGAAGCTACTGTCCATCATGTCTGAAGCTTAGAAATACGCAGACAAAGATCATTATATTCATTAGAATGGCCTTTTCCTTGAGTTCCTATTACAAAGCAAGGGTGGCATTAATTCTTCAAAATATATAAAAAGAAAAGCCACAGGAAATAATAGTCATTAACTGTATGGGATTTTAATAAGAAGCAAAGAAGTGCTAAGAAGGCAAAGGAAATGGCCTTGAATTGTGTACAGGCTGAGCAGGACAGTATGTTCCAAAGTTTGGCATCAATTCGACCACATCCCAAGAAGGATCAACTAGCCCACATGAAGAGGATGAATGAAGAATGAGATATGAGATTTTCCTGAATGCCAATCCTTTACATTACATTTTTTTAGAAGAAATGAAAGAATATTACCTAAAGGTGGCTCTAGACCTTTGGTCAAAGCCACTTAATTCAAGGGTCACAGAGACCCTGCCCTTTTGTAGGAAGGCTTTAAGGAAGAATTGCCCTGGAGTCAGAAAATGAAAGCCATTGATGTTACCAAAAGGAAATATCCTGCATAAGGACATGTCTTGAATCAGAAAGTGGTGATTGGGAAGGGAAAGGAGGTAGGGGAAGTACAGGAAAGTCTTGTCTAACAAGTGTGTAGCTTGTATTAAACACATTAAACAGCCAAGATATGTCATCTACTTACAGCTTTGGAAGGTGGTTTCTAAGACAGAGGTGCTGAAAGCCTCATGGCCTCCTATATGTCTTTGAGTCCTGTGCAGATTTATGAATTACATAAGAATAACCATCATTATTACATATGCACTTTGTGCTTTGTATCTTAAATACATTGCTTCTAACTTACATACAAACTCTGAGAGAGGAAATAGTGCCCTAGTTTCATAAAAGAAGAAATTCATGATCAGAAATTAAAGGTTTTTGCTGTGATAACAGAAAAAGTTATTGATTTCATTTGCATGTTTTTTTTCTAGCATCCTGAATCTGGTTAGTTGCCTCCCATCCTATGGTGAGTAAAGGGAAGAAGTAACACATAGATCTGTGTTAAGAAGGCAACATCTAACAAGCTATAGGGTGTGAGTTTGGACACAAGAGAACACTGGAAAGTCACATACCATAGAACCACACATGAAGGATGTCCTAAAGTGTGTGCAAAAGTTGCCCAGACTTTATGAATTACATAAGAAAGAATCACTGAGTGTGAGATACATGGCAGAGCATGTATCCCCTAGTAGCATCAAATAAGCCAAGGACCCATATACAGCACATCACCTCATCCAGTTGCTTGATTGAAGGATACTCACCTCAGAAGGAACCCTGGATATTAACATCACACTGGTGCCAAGAGAGCTCCATTTTCCTCAAATTCTATAGTTAGGTAAAAAGAAAGAAAAAATAATTACATTCAGGAGACATGGGTGTAAATCCGATTTTGCCCATGTGGCCTTCAGCTTAAATTCTCAAGCCTTAATTTCTTTTTTCTTTCTTTCTTTTCTTTGTTAAAATGGATACTTCACTTAGTTTGCAGGAAAAGTCAGTGACATGAACTGCAAAGACCATCTAAGGTGGTGCACACATATTGCTTAACTGTGAACAGTGTTTAGGGATTTAGGAGACACACAGAATCTGATCTTAAAGCTGTCAGCAAAAAACTCACTGTCCTTGTTCCCTCACCCACTGCCCAGCTATAGGCATTGCTGTTAGTGCCCCAGGAAGTGTCTTCCAACACTTCCCCATCTTCCATCTCCCACAAAGGCAGACTACTAACAGCTATGCAGAAATGTGTTCTTGAATTTTTAGCAAATGCATGTTAACTGAAGATGGCTGCACCCCCTTCTTGCTGGGTGAAAGTCATTAATGTTTGACTGTGTGAGGAGGAGAGTGAACAGGGTGTTGATGGGGAATGATTCCAGTTCCTTGCCTCTGCACAGGTGACTTCATAGTACAGTGTCTGATCATAGCTCCACCTGAAATCAGCCTAGATCCAGACTTCCAATAAAATGTGTCTGTTGTTTCTCTCCATACTTTTCTCCTCCCCTCATTGCAGGCATTTCTTTTGTCACCCCATCATCAGTAAATGAATTCCATGTCAACTTTTGCTTCTAGGATACTTAACATCAGATAGTTAAATGTTCATACATGTCTTATTCTATGTATATAATACAGTTTGTAAGACCAACCTATAGACATCATTTTCCTAATTAAATAAAGAGTAGAAAGCAAGTCTATACTTATTGGCTAGCACATAAAAGGGTTAAATACAATAACAGATGAAAGTTTTATCAAGTAACTTTTTTCCTTGGATTATTAGACTATCATCAAAATCCTATCAATGCAGCTAGACATGATGGCACATGACTATAATCCCAGCACTTGTGCCTTTGATGCTAGAGAATCACCAGTTCAAAGTCATCAGGAGCTACATAGGGAGATCCCATCTCAGGAAAGAAAAAAAAAATGTCAATACATCATTGTAAAACTTCAGATTTCAGTTCCTGGAATATTTCTGGGTCCCATAGATAAGACTGCATTGCTTTGATTTACTTCTGTTACACAGCACAGTATTTCTATTCATTTGCAATGTTCCTTTCAGGGTCAGCACAAGGGTGAGACTTCCTCTTGACTACAACTTTGTGGTCCTTTGCACTGGACCTGCCCAGGTAGGAGGTAAACAGAAAGTACTTGTTTGTGGATCAGATGGTGAATCTTGTCTGGTTTTCAATCTAATGTGAAAATTCTCTCCAACACATTCCAGCCTCACAGTGTGGCCTGCCCCTGGGAGTCTTTTATGTGGTCCAGGCACTGCTAGGCACTTAACAATATGGTGTTTTATTCAGTCCTCGAAAACCCTCAGGGAAATAATAATCAAACCGAGTTCTATGTGTTGCCTTATTAACACATCACCAGCAAATAGTACAGTACTTGATGTTGGAGTCACAAATGTTTACTAACTAAGAAAATCTTAGTGCTGCCCAGCCTCCTTCCACTC